TCTTCTTTTTGTTTGTGTTCCTTGACTGGGATCATCGGCTGAATTGTGGGCTGCGGTGAATTTCAAAGACCAAAGTATACCCTGCACAAATGCGTTTGATAAGTAACTACAAGAGATGGGTCATGCTTCTTTGTTATCCGTTTTGGCTCTGCTTGGTCATTATGAGTGGCTGTTAGTGGAAGGGATGTTATATGGGTGTGTGTTGATCTTCTGCTGTCAAGTTCAGAGCATACACAAAAACGATAATGGTGACAAAAGTTCTAAAGGTGGTGACAAAACTGACAGTGCTGGTCGGACATGCATACACATGGCGCTAGAATTTAACCATGTGCATGAAGAAGACAATTGATTTGAGTTTCGCACTAATGCTGCCTCATATACATGGAAAATAAATCGACGACACGGTGAAACAAACGGACGTCGTCACGTCACGTCACTAAGGCTGCTGGTTTTCAACACTTTTGCTTATTCCTGTTGTGTGTATTTGTGTGCATGCATGCGTGCGTGCGTGTGTGTTTGTGTGCTATGTGACCGGGACATGTTGTTCTATACTTATGGTGGCCTCTTTGCAGCTAGAGCATCTCGTAAGTAACTTTGATAACTGTTTCGTTTATTTTAGTGGTGTGCACACTGCACAGGTAGTCGGGTGCCCGTGCTACCCGGGAGGACCTCGGGTAGACGGGTACAGAATAGTACCCGAAAACCCGAAGTCGCAGATGACATGATGTACAGTGCACATGTACAAATTCATGTAATACTCCGCATGTCTACCCAGTGTGTAAGGGAAGGGGTGCATTGTTGTGTTACCATGGAGACATTACCCGATCGAGGACCCGTGCTACCCGTGGAGAACTACCCGAACCCGATACCCGGAGAAAATGCTGCTCGACTCATCCCTAGTTTATTTACGCTTAAAAACAATTTGCACTGAACGTACAATATGGCCTCGACTATTGAAAAAAAAGAAGAAAAAAGGCAACCGAGTGCACGCGCACGCTTGTGGACAGAAAGTTCGTACTACATGTATATGACAACACTGACTTTGTTCAAATCACACTTGAAAATAGCTCGTCTTCGCGAAAGTTCGCTGTACAGAAGTTTGTCGAAAACGAATAACTTTGACTTGCATTGATGCCTGGTCAACCATAGGATTAGCCTTAGTTTGTATTAATGGAAAGTTCGCCTTATCAGTGTTCGTCCTAACGAGGTTTGACTGTCTATCCATTTCAATTACAGTAAAACCTGTGACTAACGACCACCCCTTGGGGCCAGAGAAATCGATCTTTAGTGGCAGGTGGTCCTTGGTTAGAGGGTTGCCTGGCATAACCATAATATGAATGTCAGACTGTCCGTGCCTGGCGAAGTGGTCTGTAGTACCAGACTGGTCGCTAGTCACGGTGGTCTGTAGTACCAGACTGGTCGCTAGTCACGGTGGTCTGTAGTACCAGACTGGTCGCTAGTCACGGTGGTCTGTAGTACCAGACTAGTCGCTAGTCAGGGTGGTCTGTAGTACCAGACTGGTCGCTAGTCAGGGTGGTCTGTAGTACCAGACTGGTCGCTAGTCAGGGTGGTCTGTAGTACCAGACTGGTCGCTAGTCACGGTGGTCTGTAGTACCAGACTAGTCGCTAGTCAGGGTGGTCTGTAGTACCAGACTGGTCGCTAGTCAGGGTGGTCTGTAGTACCAGACTGGTCGCTAGTCAGGGTGGTCTGTAGTACCAGACTGGTCGCTAGTCACGGTGGTCTGTAGTACCAGGCTGGTCGCTAGTCACGGTGGTCTGTAGTACCAGACTGGTCGCTAGTCAGGGTGGTCTGTAGTACCAGGCTGGTCGCTAGTCAGGGTGGTCTGTAGTACCAGACTGGTCGCTAGTCACAGTGGTCTGTAGTACCAGGCTGGTCGCTAGTCACGGTGGTCTTTAGTTACAGGTTTTACTGTACATCATGCACTGTCCAAGAACCTCTCTGAGCTTTAAGGGCTTTGGCGCTGATTTCGGCTCACGGGTTTGATTTCATTGTCCACGGCGATGTCATAGGCATACCTACATGTATATACATATTGTAGTGGTGTAAGGTTTGTTGCTTACCAATGACTTTCATTTTCTTCTTTTTGTGTTCCATGACTGGGATCATTGGCTAAATTGTGGCCTGCGGTGAATTTTGCAGAGGTCAGAATTGAGAAGAACCGTAAGTAACTAGAAGTGATGCGGTTCTTTGATATCTGTTTTATTCTGCTTGGTCACAATTAGTAGCTGTCGGAGGAAGGGACCTTATATAGGTGTGTGTTGGTCTTCTTGTGTCAAGCTGATAAGAAGCATATCTTTTCGTTTCGGGAGAATGAAGTTGAAGACACCACTGCAGCTGTACTTATGGTGGATAAATATGGTGGTAAAGACACACCTGACAATATGGCGGTAAACACACGCCTGCCCACACACGCTCTCTAGGCTGCATTCCTTTGTCAACGACTGTAAATCAGAAGCATATCTACATGTGCATGCATATTATGCTGTTGTAAGGTTTGCTGCTTACCAATGACTTTCATATTCTTCCTTGTGCTCTATGACTGGCATCATCGGCTAAATTGTGGGCTGCGGTGAATTTTGCAGACCTCAGTGGATGAATCACGGGTAAGTAACTAAGAGTGACGCGCTTCTTTGATATCTGTTTTGTTCTGCTTTGTCACAATTAGTAGCTGCCAGAGGAAGGGATATGATATGGGTGTGTAATGGTCTTCTTGTGTCAAGTTGATAAGAAGCATGTCTTTTCGTTTAATTATTATGAAATGACGAGGCACTTGCAGCTTTGAACGCTTTTGCTTATTCCTTTGTGTGTGTGTGTGTGTGTGTGTGTGTGTGTGTGTTTGTGCGTGTGTGTGTGTGTGTGTGTGTGTGTGTGCGTACGTGAGTGCGTGCGTGCATGCGTGCGTGGGAGGGTGTAACAGGTGTATTTATCCTAAAATACTCTGTAATAAGGCTTCCTGCCATGAAACTATAACTTGGACCTATCCTCTGGGAGTGTCTTGGGGACTGTTTAGCCAGGGCAGCTAACATGTATGTGTGCGTGTTTTATTTGTGAGATCCACTCTGATTTAGCTGTCCACACTCGTAGCAAGTATTGCCTTCACCAGGGGCAGGGGTAACTGCAGTTGGATCCCGGGACGGACACTCTGATGCCGTCAATTCTTTTCGGCACCTTGTCCTCACCCACTTAGGGGCCGTCCGGGGTTACCAATAGTTTTTGCAAAACGAAAATTTTTAGTATTTTTCAGCACCCACCCACCCACCTATCTTTTCTGCAGGTAAAACGAATTCGAATAAAATATTGATGTCAATTTTCGGCACCCAGAAGTAATTGAGCATTCTCCATCCGCATTCAATAGTTATTTTCAAAAAGAAACTCCTTCAAACCCACCCACTTCCAAGCGAGAAGTTTTCGTTTTGAAAATACTATTTGTAGCCTTGGACGGCCCCTTAGGGTCTTCGGCCGTTGGGCGATGCAATAGCCAATTGAGTCATCTTTCCAAGATTCCTTTTTGAGTTTCTCTCCCCTCTCCCGGGGAGACTCACGTGACCAGTTTTGGCAATGAGCAACACGTACAAGTGTGTGTGCGTGTGCGTGTGTGTGTGTGTGTGTGTTTGTGTGTGTGTGTGTGTGTGCGTGCGTGCGTGCGTGTGTGCGTGCGTGCGTGTGTGCGTGCGTGCGTGTGTGTGTGTGTGCATGCGTGATGAAGGGATTTGAAGCGGGTTTTTTGGTTGGTCTCCTTTCGTAAGTGCACAATGAATAAGCATATCCCTTCCTGAATGATTTGGCACTTCAGTACAGGCTTGCAATGTGACCAGGACATTTGCTGTATATTATGTATTTCGAAGTAGTTGGATGCTTCGCGGCAGGCAAAGAGTGAGGCATGAGAAAGTGCAAGTTTCTGTCCAGCATCTTTTATACATGTGTGTGTTCTCATTCACTTTCGCTTTTTCCTCTGTGTGTGTGTGTGTGTGTGTGCGTGCGTGCGTGCGTGCGTGCGTGCGTGCGTGCATGCGTGCGTGCGTGCGTGCGTGCTATATTCCTGTGGACATTTGTTCAATGGTTGAATGTGGTGACTACGCAGATGTACAATAAGAAGAAGGTAAGTGCCATATTGGAGCCAGGACCTTTCAGAGCTGTTCTCTTTGCTTTCCCAGACATAGAACTATAGTGGGTGCTCCATGTTATCTTATGCATGCTACCGATCTTACGCAGAAGACCGAATATTCGATCACCACTCTGTGTGTTTCATGCTATGGTATTGTGTACTCATCTGGTTCTGTAAGTGCCTGGGTGGAATTTGCTTAGTCTTGGACTATTTCAGTCTGCCTATGTTTTTCTTGATCTGTGAGAGATCTACATGATAAAAGTGCTGATATGGGCACCTTGTTGATTTTTATTGCGTAATGCACACATGTATCCAAGGTCGTTATATTAGTGAATGCTAGTGTTTGGTTTCTTTAGTAGAACACTGTATGTACAGTCGTGGCCAAAGAAATGCAACCAAACTATTCAAAAGTACCACAGTGTTTCCATTTCCATTACATCATGCACGGTCCAATAACCTCTACGAGGACTGTAGGGGCAGTAAGGGCTTTGGCGCTGGTTTTAGCCGACGGGTTCGATTTCTTTGTCTAAGACTAGAACTATATCACAAGCATATCTACATGTTTCGAACTGAGATGACCGCTACACCAAGCTCAGTGGTTAGAGCATCGCTGGCCTCAAGCAAAGGTCCCTGGTTCAAGTCTTGGTGGTGACAGTCAATTGTTTCTTCAGACTTTTCCCGTTTGTGTCCTTCTCTCAACCTATGAATATCTACATATACATGTAGATTGCAGTGTTGTAAGGTTTGCGGCTTACCAATGGCTTCCATCTTCTTCTTTTTGTTTGTGTTCCTTGACTGGGATCATCGGCTGAATTGTGGGCTGCGGTGAATTTCAAAGACCAAAGTATACACTGCACAAATGCGTTTGGTAAGTAACTACAAGAGATGGGTCATGCTTCTTTGTTATCCGTTTTGGCTCTGCTTGGTCATTATGAGTGGCTGTTAGTGGAAGGGATGTTATATGGGTGTGTGTTGATCTTCTGCTGTCAAGTTCAGAGCATACACAAAAACGATAATGGTGACAAAAGTTCTAAAGGTGGTGACAAAACTGACAGTGCTGGTCGGACATGCATACACATGGCGCTAGAATTTAACCACGTGCATGAAGAAGACAATTGATTTGAGTTTCGCACTAATGCTGCCTCATATACATGGAAAATAAAGTGACGACGCGGTGAAACAAACGGACGTCGTCACGTCACGTCACTAAGGCTGCTGGTTTTCAACACTTTTGCTTATTCCTGTTGTGTGTATTTGTGTGCATGCATGCGTGCGTGCGTGTGTGTTTGTGTGCTATGTGACCGGGACATGTTGTTCTATACTTGATGGTGGCCTCTTTGCAGCTGGAGTATCACGTAAGTAACTTTGATAACTGTTCCAATTATTTTAGTTCTGTGCACACTGCACAGGTAGTCGGGTGCCCGTGCTACCCGGGAGGACCTCGGGTAGACGGGTACAGAATAGTACCCGAAAACCCGAAGTCGCAGATGACATCATGTACAGTGCACGTGTAAAATGTCATGTAATACTCTGCATGTCTACCCAGTGTGTAAGGGAAGGGGTGCATTGTGGTGTTACCATGGAGACATTCCCCGATCGAGTACCCGTGCTACCCGTGGAGAACTACCCGAACCCGATACCCGGAGAAAATGCTGCCCAACTCATCCCTAGTTTATTTACCCTAAAATCTGTCACTGTTATGCCAAATCAATCAAGTTTGTTAGCCTAGGATCAAAATTGTCCCACTGTACTTCAAGTATATGTATATAGCAGAGGCACAATCTAACACACAGCCTGGCTGTACCATTGCCAGGGCCTTGTAGTACCCAGCACTGGTTTTCAGAAGGATGAATTCCACTCACAGGCACTGTAGTGCATTGTGCGGACCACGCCAACCCCACAGGAAAGGAAAGTTATGAATCCTCTGTGTTGTTACCAGTTTGTTAACACATCCAACCCTTCACAGGCTCCCAGCTGCAGGACAAGAATACAGTGCTGCCAATACTTTGCCCATTGGGCATCATCAGGGCCATGATAAGGAGTGTGGTTGGGGGGGGGGGGGGAGAGAGAGAGGCAAGCATGACATATAAAGGCAAAAGAATGTTCTAGAATTGTCAAGCAAGCAAACAGTCTTTATTTGAAATGTACCGTAAGACAACTGAGCAAAAGAAGAGAAAAATTACGACACATCCTAGAATAGTGTCAAGTGTGGAAATGCTCAAGTTGAGATGTGTGTATATGACATGGGAGCATACTCGGCCCTACACTCTTCCTGATTTACGTGAACGACGCCTCAGAGACCCTGTCACCCGGAGCCCACCTGGAGGCGTACGCCGACGATACTACCTTGTATAGCCTGATATCCCTCGACACATCCCCAGCCGACGCAGCATTGAGCCTCCAGACTTCTGTTGATCGCTTGCATCAGTGGGGCTACAGATGGCGCATCTCCTTCGAACCGTCGAAGTCCCAAGCCATGACCGCCACTCTCCGCAGAACCCCCATCAATTTGCCTCGCATTGTCTTCGGCGGCACTCCTGTTCTTGAGGAGAAGGCTCTCTCTTTACTTGGAGTGACCTTTGACTCGAAGCTGTCATTCAGTACTCATCTCCGGAAGGTTGCCACTCGAGCCAAACAACGCCTGGGCTTCCTGCGCCGTGCAGCGCACATTCTCTCTCCAGCCGGCCGCACCACAGTATACAAGGCATTTGTTCGACCAGTTATGGAGTATGCCCCCCTCATCTGGATAGGTGCTCCGCCCAGCTACCTGCAACGCCTGAATCATATCCAACGCTGTGCTCTGCGAATCATCTGTCCAGTTGCACTATTACCTAGCCTGGCCATCCGTCGTACTGTTGCCTCGCTTGCCTGCCTATACAAGCTGCATTACCTGCCTGGCCCTCCGCAGCTACTCTCTGTTTTGCCACCGCGCCATTTCCCCTCATCCAGCCCCAGAACTCGCAGCGAGCATGGTAGCGTCATTGGCCATGACCACCAGCTCCAACACCAGCTGCTTGCATCTGTCCCGCTGGCATTAAAGCACTCGTTCCCACACTGCAGTATTAGTGACTGGAACTCCCCCCCGCCGCTCTTCTGTCCCAGCCTCCCCACAGCAAGGGAATACAAGCATTCAAAACTAATGTTTATCGCCATCTGCGAAGCACAAACTGGCTCTGGGCAGTCGACTCGCTATGATGATGCTCTCGTCGTTCTCCTCTATCCCTATCTATGCACCACAACTGGCTCAGAAAACCGACTCGCCATGATCAGCCATGATGATGCTCCTCTCAGTAACAGCCCTTGTAATTTGTTAATAGTCTCACAGTTTCTCCCGCACACTCGCTGGTGTTAACCCTTCCTTTCTTTTCATTTTGCTGACTCGTACAGCTCTATCTTTTGTTTTTGGTGCGTGTTTTTGGCCGTGATGCCGAGACCTCAGGTCGACAGAGCCATGAATGCCCCACCATCACTGCTGCGTCTCGGTGCAGCCCCTGCTCAATAGTTGTCACGTTCGTCCTAGTCTCAGTATCATTGTCTTTCTTTATTATTTTCGAGCTGGGAATGTGAACATAGTAAAAAATAAATAAATAAAATAAATAAATAAATAAAAAAAACATGTGCAAGTGCGATGTGTGTGGGGGTGGGGGTGCGTGTGTGATGTGCCAGGTGATAAAAGATGCCTGTCAGTATCCAGTGACGATCCAGTGAGGTCTTCATCAATTATGCCCCAGCCATTATCGCAATTGACTGCTGGTTTACGTTTCCGCATCTCGATGGCTTCAGGTAGTTTCCTTGATGGTAGCGAGCCCTCCCTGCTGAGAATCTTTGCCTGGTGGAAGGGCAGAACGTTGGAAGACGTCGAAAATTCTTGATGCTGGGTACGACGTGATTCGCAATTTTTGGACAAATCAGTTAAATGTGGAAGTAGAGTCCTCCTGAGTCGTTGTCCTTTCCTTGGTGGACAAATCTTTGACAAGAGTAGCTTCGTGTGGTCCTCAAGTTTCTTCTTTCCTTTTTTTTCGCGGCGAAAGCCGTTTCTTTCTGGGCGTTTTCTTTACTATTCTTAGGTAATGTATTGAGTATTTTTGAAAATTTCGATTAAATAGTAAATAATGGAGGGTTCCGTCGACCCTACGTCGCACGACGGAGAGAATGTCGACATGGGGATGTTGTATCCCTTCCATCAACCCCGGAGACTACGTCTTCCACCTCGAATCCGCCTGGAAGAGTTTCCTCGTCTTCTCAGCCCGTGCGTTTGTGGAGGAGTTCTGGTCAGGAGAAATCTCTTTTAGCAGTGCGAGCGTGCCACTCACCTGGCACCAGTTAACACTTCCTAACAAAGAAGGACGCAGCGGCTAGTTACCGCGCTAGCCCTTCACTCTTTGCGAAAAATGAGAAGGAGATGCACCCCACTGGAGTGCTCTCCTCTGTTGTTCCTGAATATGACGTCCATGAAAACCCTTGAGTGACCCTTTAAATTGTGTGTCACATTGAAAGGCCTTGAAAAGCTTGCTGTGAACGGCCTGTCATCAGAACTCATATCAGCCGGTCTCATAGGCATAGCCTTACCCCATTTTCATGTCCTGTGCAAGTTTTACTTGTCCACACCATTGCAGACTGCTGCTAGATGCTATTTCATTTAGTTGTCCAATAATACGGAGGATTAGCAAGACGAAATTCGCGTTCGCATTCGCTCTCCAAGGAAAGTCGAACTCAGTGACAGAATTCGCGTTATGAGAAGGATTAGCAAACAGAATTCGCACATGCATCATGTCGTTGACACGCCGTACATTGTGTACAGACAGTACAGCGTGGTAAATTTATGACTGCCCTGACACGAATCCGCGATTCGTGTTCCAACTACTTTTCCGAACGAAAAATGCGAAAGTTCGCAATCCAGTTCGCGAACTGAAAAATGTTTGCGAACGCGAACGCGAATTTCGTCTTGCTAATCCTCCGTATTTGCTCGCATTGTAAAAGCAGTAGAAAAAGACGCCTTCGATCAGGTCAAGTTGTGGCCACACGCTTCAACTCTAGGCCCTCAGGTGTGTGTGGTAGTGGTAAAGTATAAGTGTGCCAATAGAAAAGCAAGAAAAATTTTTTTTTTTACAAAACAACGTAATAGGGTGCTATTTAATTTGAGTGTCCAAAATAGCACATGACCTCGTACGATAGGGAAAACCCCAGGGAGCCTTCCCTACCATCGTCCTTGTCTCTCAGTAGTGCTCAGCAAATCAGTCTCTCACCGGCCACTCGGTCTCACCAACAATTCTGCGCACAACGTGCAAGACATAGAATTGACGAAACCTTTGACTAAACACTGGCTATTCGCCACACTTGTATCGCATGCACAACACTCCATTGGCCGACCTATTCCTCTCTTCACTGCAGCTCGCTGCTTCTCACGAGGACGCACGTGCACCAGTAGACAATGGGACCGGAACAAATCCTTTCAAAGAAGGACCAGACCCAAAGACAACATGAACTTGCAGACTGAACTTACGAACACGTCGTGAGACACTAGCGGCAAGTGAGTCGCTGATAAAGGCCAGCTTGATGACTGACTTGAACTCCGGGTCGTGTCTATGTTTGTTGTGATGCTAATGTTGCCGTTGAGCCGGGCGATGATCTTGGCATTGTCACGTCTCCTTGGCTACTTGCCTTGCTGCCTTTATCGCGGTTCGTGGATTGTCATTTTTCTTGAGTAGCGCTTTGATTATCGACGTGCTCCTGTCTTCGGCTTCTGGTGTCGACGAATTGTGGATGGCCTGAGAGAACTGGATTGTCTCATACATACATCTCAACTTGAGCATTTCCACACTTGATACTATTCTTGGACGAAATATTGGGAGTACTTTATTCTTGTCATGCAGCTGTGAGCATGTTCAGGGATAGAGGTGTTTGCAAGTGGAAAGAAAACGCTGCATTGGGGCTGGAGAGCATTGAGGAATTGTGACGTGTATCAGTTGTGGCAGCGAATGCAAATAAGTGACATTGTACAGTGACACCCTCAACGCAGCTCAGCACATATCAAATGAGTTGTTATGGATATTCAATTATTCATAAGTGATTATCTATACCTTCCAGCCATTCATTTTCTGAACTTGGCTAATTAGGTCTTTGTGATCAAAAGAGCTGCCTGATAGAATTCAATGCCTACTTGATATCTCATTTTGCTAATCATCATTTCATATCATTGTTATGGTGTTGTGTGCAGCGTCAGAAATTGAAGGAAATTGCCCTGGCCAGTAAGTTGAGTATTTCTTTAAAATCGTTCAGACACTCCTTGGTGCTTGTTACCAATTACATGTGTGGGGTATGGGAAGGCAGCAGGTGCTCAATTTCATGGATGAGTGAGACAGTTCCAAAATTAGTTTCAGCTGTTAGGACGTGATGTGATATGGCCCAAGTACTTCAGAGGTTTTTTTCCCCAGATATCTTACCATATTTAGCTTTGACAGCAAAGGCATGTAAAGGCAAGGGTAATTAGGGGAAGTTCATCCTAATATGAAAACGACACAACCCGTAGCGAAAAATGCACTGATTCCAATGGTGAAAGTCCCAGGTTGATCGGAGCAGTCGCTCCCGAGTTATACACGCTTCACCATTGGAATCAGTGCATTTTTTGCTACAAGTTGTGGAGTTTTCATTTTAGGGTGAACTGCCCCCCCCCCCCCCCGTCAATGTCTAACGACCGAACATCACCCGACATGGCCAAATTTCCGATTTCGCTCAAAGTTGGCTCATTTTATCCGGCCTGAGTGGACCTTGTTCGCCCACTATGACAGTTTGATCCAGTTTGGTTCCTTGGATAGTGGGGAAAAAAAGAGACTAAAATACGCACTGAAATATGGTACACAAACGAGGGGTCAGTCACTGCTGCTCACAACAACGGAGCGCGGCCAAACCAACTACAGTCAAACCTCATTAGTACGAACACTGATAAGGTGAACTTTTTTTTAGTACAAACTAGGGCCAATCCTATGGTTGGCCAGGCATCATATCAAGTCAACATTATTCGTTTATGGATAACTCTGTACGGTGAACTTTCATGAAGACGAACTAATTTCAAGCGTGATTTGAACAAAATCAGTGTGTAGTACGAACTTTCGGTCCCCGTGGATACACTGGCTGAAGTTTTTCCCCAATAGTCGAGGCCTCTTGTGCTGGCCAAATATGTCACAAGGCGGATGTAATGCTGTTATGAATTCATTGCACACTGTACTCGCCTGTTGCTAGGTTTTGTTATGAAAAAAAAGTTTTACATTTGCCACAGCATGCACGTTCACATAAATACAATCCATGTTGTGAACTCTCTGATTCTCTTAATTAAGTGTCAGGAAATCACACGGCACGAGAACAACTATTTCTTCTTAACGGTATATTTGACTTCAATCAAATATAATAACTAAAGTCTAAGACCGCCAACTATTTATAGCATGAAAAGACGGCGTATATGGTGGGTCCAATGTTATTAGGCATTATGCCTGTTTTGATTTCCACTATAAATAACGTATACAACAACAACATATCAAAAAGGCATATACATAATTATATAACATAAAATGACAGCGTGTACAGTAAATCGCCCATAGCGCATTTAGCATATACTATGGAGTCAGCATCAGTGTTACGGCGGAGCCGAGACACAACATTGAAATGGATACAATGTCATAAGTGAGAAGGCCTTTCACACTTGAGAACTTGTGGTTTTGGAGCAATCCATGTGATATGCATAGCAATTTCTTGTCAGATCTGGATAAGAAGAACTCCCGAGAAGACAAACAAACTTGTTCAGTCCTTTCAAGTTCGTCCTAACGAGGTTTGGCTGTCTAGTAATGTTTATTCATCCAACTTTCGATTGGCGACTTGCTGAGTCCCTCGAGTGAATCGATCAATTCAGCCTCTCCAATGGCGGCCATTACGAAGGCCATCAATCTTCACGCGCCAGCAGCAGCAGGGTTCCGTCCTGAAATTGGGGTAGACCACCACCATAGTCTGATAGTCTGCTACAACATGTCTCCAAGCGCCAACGAGTGGTCTTGAATGAAGTTATCCACTAGTTATCCACTAGTTATCCACTAAAAATCACTTGGGGGAAATAGTCAAATTTCGAGCTCTCCAATGGCCATGCACTAGCCGAATCCAACTTCATGGCAGGAAAGCACACACAGAGCATCTCCACATGCCTTGTCGCTATGCTACCATCACTGACATATCAAGGGCACAATCCCTTCTCTCGCAGAAACTCGAATGAAGCCGCTACGAAGCGTCATTTGCTGAACAACAGCCCACTATGATGAAAAAGAAGAACTGCTCCACAACAACAAATCGGCAAGGACTGCAACAGTTGTGCAAGATGGCCCAGATTGGGCCAGAACGATCTCTTGTGCTGGGCAGCTAGTGCACATGAGTTTCACATGCGTGCCACGCTCCCATCAAAAAATTCAACAGTTCTCTCAGGTTGCCATGAATTCATGAACCCATGTACTTCTGGTGCATGCGCGGTTACATCATGCATTTTCACAATTTTTCAGGTACAGGAGGGCCGCGGCTGTGCCCCAAAGAGAACCTTGTTTTTCAATTCTTGATTTTCCAACTCCAATGCATACTAGCGGTCGTTAAGAGCAGGTGGTCGCTAAACACAGAGGTCGCTTACACCAGGGCTACGTAGAATCTAGGTCATGATTTCCTACTTGTGCGACGAGGCATCGATGCACACGAGAAACTCACGTGCACTGGCTAGGACTGCCCTGTAAATTTGGACCATCTTGCGCTACTGTTGCGCTCTTTGCTGATTTGTTGTTGTGGAGGAGTTCTTCTTTCTCGTCATGTTGGGCTGTTGTTCAGCAAGTGACGCTTCGGGGCGGCTTCATTCGAGTTTCTGCGAGGGCAGAGATTATTCCCATGATGTCTCAGTGCTGGAAGCGTAGCGAAAAGGTATATGGAGGCTTTCCTGTGTGCTTTCCTGCCACGAGGTTGGATTCGGCTAGTGCATAGTTGTCGAAGAGACCGAAATTTGACTATTTTCCCCCAAGTGATTTTTAGTGGATAACTTTATTCAAGACTATCACTTGTTGGCACTTGGGGACATGTTGTAGCAGACTATGGTGGTGGTCTAACCGTAATTTCAGGACATAACCCCGCTGCTACTGGCCCTTGAAGATGGCCTTGGTAATGGCCGCCATTGGAGAGGCTGAATTGATCGATTCGTTCAAGGGACTCAGCAAGTCGCCAATCGTAATTTGGATGGCTTAATATTTCTAGGTAACTTGGATCGGTGTGCGAACATAGTTGGTTTGGCTGAGCTGCGTTGTTGTGAGCAGCAGTGAGCCCTCGTTCTGGTACCTTGTTTGAAGGTGTTTCAGTTCGTATTTTATCGATTTTTTATTTTGGTCAATATCGAAAGAACGGAGGGTTTCTGAACCGAACTGTCATAGTAGGTGAATGAGGTCCACCTAGGGACAGAAGGAGCCAACTTTGAGCGAAATCGGAAATTTGGCTATGTCGGGTGATGTTTGGTCGCTACAGACATTGATGAACCGAACGAGCTGAACCAATATTCATGAAAAGCTTCATTGAATTTGAAAGCAAATGGATGAAGGATAAGGAAAGAGGGACAAATGACAGTTGTTCCTCTTTGTTTGTCTTTCGTGTGAAAAGGAAGCTCATGATCAACAACAATGAACAAAATCCTGAACTAGTTTTTGTACAACACTCTTCAGGAGGCGATGTTGTACTGATGAGGAATGAGCTGAGCCAAGCTAAAAGGTGGCTTAGGCATAATTTTTGGAAATTTCTTTTTTCATGCCAAAGTGATGTCTATATATCCAACGTCCATCATGGAAATTTTGGTGCCCATCTGAAATGTATATGTGCCATAAATAAGCATACATTGTGCACATGTCACAGAATGGCTGGTATCAATGTCACTAAGGATTCCAAGACCTTCCCAAACTCCAAGAAAACATGGGACAAAAAGTGGAGACAAAGCTTAGCAGGTGTGCAAGCAATACAAGAAGAATGAGCACTTGTGTTCAAATCAGAAGATCCAAGAAAGAAGAAATAACAGATCTACATTTACAAATAATCTACGTGGAGATAAAAGTTTAATAATAGCTATGAAAAGTATGAATGCCGCAGACATCACCACGCAACATGACAATTTGTTCAAGGTTTGGTTTTGTGTGTTTCCAAAATCGATTTTCACGCTCTGATCATCAGTGGAAATACGGAACTAAAGAGATCAAGGGAAAAACAAAGGTTACAAATCCAAAGAAGTGTGACACATGACGGGTAACTTGTGGTAAGTATTACAAAAAGTGAGAACTAAAATAAAGAGTAAGTGTGACAAACGGGCATGAACAGTGCAGAAACAACTCATGAACACGGTACGCATAAGCCCGATTTGTGTAAGCAAAAAGAACATGTTTTAGCACTTAGGTTATTTTCGTGAGTTTGCACCCCGTGTTCATGAGTTGTTTCTGCACTGTTCATGCCCGTTTGTCACACTTACTCTTTATTTTAGTTCTCACTTTTTGTAATACTTACCACAAGTTACCCGTCATGTGTCACACTTCTTTGGATTTTTAACCTTTGTTTTTCCCTTGATCTCTTTAGTTCCGTATTTCCACTGATGATCAGAGCGTGAAAATCGATTTTGGAAACACACAAAACCAAACCTTGAACAAATTGTCATGTTGCGTGGTGATGTCTGCGGCATTCATACTTTTCATAGCTATTATTAGATCTACATTTCATCATGACTCATGTCATTTTATCATGCAAGACGAATTTTCATATCCTTCATCATGATGCTGTGACTATATTTTTCGCTGGGTTGGGGAACGTTGCATCTTACCAAGACAGTCCATCATACTCTCTCCAATCACCTATGTCAGGATGAATTAATCCTTTCACAGTGTAGCTTGTAGTGCTGTGCCAGAGATCTACCTCCATTGGTGTACTGCCCTCGCACCTACATATAGGTCCAGTAGACTGCACATCGCTAACAAGCGGCACTGGTTCTTTGTCCGTCCTAGTCCATGTCATTCTCCTTCCTTGCCAAGGATACTGGTAGAAGGCGCCACGGGACAATATGCTGGCAGGTAGAGTCAATGCATCGCTTCGTCGTGTGGCACTATTTCCTTGAATCGAGGAAATTTTGGAATCCAGTACGCCACGTCATGAACACTAAATTGAAGGTAGCCAAAACAAAGTGAAACATCGCAGCAAGAGCCAACTCACCAGGCCGCTTGTCAGAATGATAGTCGGAAGGCTCGTAGACGTCTCCCCATAGCTATATTCGCCGCTCTAGTCGTGGCCATGATAAAAAACACAGCCACTATGAATGAGCGACTCTTCCTCGTCAAGTAGGTTTGGGCGCACACGGACACAGAATGTCATCCTGCTCACCTCCACATTCTCTAGAAGCTCCATTACGATCTCTGGCAGCGCTGAGGAATCCCCACAACGATGAAAGAGGGAACACTGAAGAAGTGTTGCTCAAACATAAAAAGGCTTCTCTCTTCATCCGCTTGCAAACTAAATTACTTGAAAGTGAATATTTTCGCGATCGCGCTCGAGTAGAATTTTGCCAACTGTGACGTTTTGTTGATTTTCTCGATTTGTTGGCAAAACACGAAGCCACTTTTTAGCTTGGCGCGGCTCAAATATGAAAGTAACTAATCCTATGTAAAGAAATGAACCTAACAAAGTGAGACCTAAAACTGTATCAAGCTTGCACTCCGATGTGTGGTGACAGATAACTCGCAGGAGTAAGGAATGAAAGATGCATCGCAGCCTTCTCGGACCATTACCATTGGATTCTGGGCCCTGAAGACTACAGGTTCTGCGAAGTCCATTGTCGTCCGTGCTTCTTTGAGCATGAGAACGAGATGAAATTTCGAATGAAATCTTCCGTAGAAATGCCTATCCAGTAGGGTGCACTCCTCCCAATTTGGTGGAGGTGCACAAATTCAATTGTGACATAGCAGGATCAGAATGTCGAAGCTTCCTCGGACCAACACCATTTGGCACAGCGCACAGAACCCTACAAGTGATGACACTTGGATTTAGACCAGACTTCCCCTTAAGGCATTATGACAGAAGAAAACGTGCGTGTTGCTCCCTGCATGGGAGCTCGCGCTTCTCCTGCCGACTTGACTGGTTGACGACTGCCAACTGGAGCACATGAAAAGTCCATCGACCCTTATATATTAGCTTAGCAAACCTGGAAGAAAGCGCCGTTCCCTGCAAATTCCCATGGAAGGCTGAAAATGGGCTTCTCAAACATGAACATGCCCGTCATGTGATGGAATTTCATTAGCCTACTCAAGCTCAACTGATGAGGGGTGAATTCCCGGAAACACTGCTTATTGAGCAGGGAGTGGTGCTTTCATGAGGGTTTGCCTAGCTACTGGAAGGTTCGACGTGCTCCTCATGTTCTGCGGACGGCAGTCACGAGTCAGTCAAGTGTCCAGTTGCTGGTGTGAGCTGCATGTAGGAACAGCCAAGTTAGTCAGAGAGTTGTCAGAGATCCTGTGAGCAAACATTTGCCTAAGAGAGGAAGATTTGTCTATTATTCCGACGACCTGAGAAGGAATGATCGCAACCCATGCAAAAGAGGAAGCCCCAAGTTCCCTTTCTCCTGCCCATGTTCCTGCCCATGCTCCTACAGTCCATTCATCCAAAACACAGGCACCCTAATCTTTTGATGTTCTGTGCAATTGAAGAGCTGGAATGCGAAACCCACTAAATCCATTTCATCACTTTCTGGATGGCCAAAAACGAATTCATTTATGTGCGGTTTGTATCTAAATCCATATTTGGGTTCCAGTTTGGAAATGATTCTAGTCAGATCTAGAATGTGAATTTTGTCTGCTATTGCCCCTAGATCATTTGCTTACACTGAGCTGAGATTCTGATTCTCTCAAATTTGATGCTTATCGGTTTTGCATCTCAGCTCTTCAATTATTTATTGCAACCCAGATTTAACCCTTTGCAATTTGGCGTCCATGGTTCGATTTCGAACCATGGATGTATGCATGTGCATATGCATGTGGGTGCAATCAAACTTTCGGTTCTCGGCCAAATCCAACAATCAAAAGGGTCTAGGTGGTAGAGAAAACTCTCAGCTATCGCCTCGAACAGGTCCGAAGTCTCTCCTATGAAGTTTGAGTGAGCGGCAAGCGACGGAACATTTTGAATTTTCTGCGCTGCGTGCTGCAAGTCAGCAGTGCGTGAAAAAAAGGGATTTCCCCAGCTTCATGACACGCGGCACGTGCCAGGACCGGCAAGGCGCGAAGTCAGGGCAAGGTACTAGGTAAGCTTCTACTCGAAAAAATTGAACAGTTCCGAGCTAGATTCAGTGAAATGGCTACAGGGGACTAATTTAGTCTCAGATCTGAAGCTGGACTCGCGTTTGGAGCGCGTTGTGGCGGCCAATGAGTATTGCTCTTGGCGAATTTGGGCTCATTGTATTTCTCTCATTAAGAGCTTTCCAACGAGCCCAAGAACTCCAAAATCGGTGAAGTAGAACCAAAGTTATGTTAGAAATTGAGTGCGCATTTTCGTCACTGCCACAAATTCCGAGGAAGCAAAAAAAGCTATGGACTCCAAAGGGTTAAAGCAGGTTTTGAACCTCAATTCCGGCCAGATGTAGGCTTTAAAAGCCCGTGGCCACGACTTGTTTGGATGAATGGACTATAGGGTGCTGGATGGTCATTGCTGTCGTTGAGCACTGTACTGCACGACAAACATGCGCCCGTACTGCCATACAGCAGTCATGTACAGCATGGCCGGAATGTTCAATCCGTTTCAGGAATACAGAAACTTGGGAATTTAGTTATAGTATAACCTTCGGATGAACGGACGTTTTCGTAATCTTTTCCGGCTGGGTTCTATTATTGTTGCCTCAAACTTTGATTTCCAAAACTTTTCCAATGTACTAGTAATGAGATTGCGTTATTGTCTACCTTTGTTATGCCCGTCAAACTACAGAGCTCCGTACCTTCTTCCAACCTCAGTTCTGGGAGTATCTGCAAGCACAAGTCCAAGCAAGAAGGATTGCAAAATGTGTTGTGGGTGGCGTCTCTGGATCATCGAGCAAGCGGCGGGGAAGAAAGAAAGGTGGCGGCGCCGAAGGAGGTGGTGGAGGGACGTATGCGCTCGGGCAGAGCGAGGCGTGGACCATGTACTTAGTGAACCGCGACGGCATAGGTCGGCCGGTGCCCGTTCCGGCTTCGCTTGCACTGGGCCGGCAAGCGAAGCTACTGTGAGCATTACAAACGCTGACGTTTGTAATGTGCTCATCACCATGACAGTATACCGAAGGTCCCTTGAACTAGTGTTCCGCTCTACAAACACGCTTGACACCAGTATCACTGTAAGTAATACTCGGGTACAATTGATCGAAGAAAACAGAAAACAAGAAAAAAGAATATCCTTGATTCAAGAAAAACAGAAAACGTGAAAACAAAAGACTATTCTTGGTCGTAGCCACAGACTTGAGTAATCAGAGCCACACGGAGAGAAAAGCTCTTGTAAAAGACTTCCCATGGCAATGGGACATTTCTTCGGAGATTTCCAGTGTCCTCCACCCGTTGGCGCTGGTAATGGTATGCAGTATGCCATGCATGCAATGAGCCTATGATGGGCTCCACTGCACCAGAGACACTGGTGTAGGCGCATATTCAACATACTGAACTTGCCTCGGACAATTAAAATGTTATCGCAGCAGACTGGCTGGGCCTCAGTCGATCAAAAATAATTTTTGTGTATGTTTTTTTTGCCTAGCGTATATCCTGACTACATGACTGTCTTATTGTGTCCCCATACATTTCTTTCTATGATGCCGCAACATTGCCCTGGCATCTGAACAACCATTTCCGTTTAAAAAAATATTGTAATTCATGCATGATGCCTTTTGTTGGCTCTTCTGCCTGGATTTCATTGACAAATACCATGGATCCTTCCATGAGTGACATGCAAACTGTACCTATTATTATGCATGTTTTAGAACACATCATGGTTTCAGTCTTTGAGACAACCGTTGTATTTTTTTTATAAAGCTCTGTTCTTCTAGGAATGAGCCGTCACGCGGCTGTCCACGGCGGATGGTTTCCGCCAGCTTCGAATGCGATGTACGTGTATGGCGGTCCCATCCCCACCGGGAAGGTGCGTAGCCTCTTGGAGGCTTCTTTTTTCTGTATTTTTTCTGATCTCTCAATGCCGCTTGCCTTGCATGTCTATCATTGCTGCTGTTTGTTGATGCAGTATGCTCTTTGCCTGCTGTGCATAAGCCGTATAAAACTTGTCGAATGTGAACGGACAGCAGCCTGTCGTTACCTCTGTGCATTGCCAGCATAATACTTCAGAAGTGTGTTGTCTTTCAATGAACTCCACGCTCGCCCGTGTGCTACTCTGCATCATATTCACTCGCTCAAATAGTGCTCAGATAGCGCTCGAATAGTGCTCAGATAGCGCTTGAATATAGTGCTCAGTGCATGCCGTCCATTGCATCGGCCGTTGGAATGTTTTTACTGCTATGTTTTCTATAGTGTCGCTTACACGTCTTGTTCTTTGGCACCCCGGGGTATGCCGGTCTTAGAGCTATGGACTTTTGATGATCATGATGATGATGGTGATAATCTACCGGTGTTGATACTTGTTATATCATGTGACCATTGTCATGTCATGTGACCATTGTCATGTCATGTGACCATTGTTATGTCACGTGACCATTGTAATGCCAATTATGCCATGCAACCATTGTCATGTCACGTGACCATTGTCATCAGTACAACCAGCATGGCAACTCGCAGGAATACTAGTAGACGACTGAGAATGTGCAGTGCCTGTGCGTGCATGTAGGAATGGGTTATGCTGGCGGGACTTTGGCAGGCATCATAGTGGGCGCATGCATGTCAGATTGGATTACACTGGCGCTACTGCATGATATGTACTGTCGTGGACATGGAAATCCGGTCGCACGTCTAGCGGCCACAGGGCGCTGGCCATGCAGTCGTAGGTATGCAGCACACGCATGCATTATCATGATTACTAGTATGCGCTGCTGGTCGCACCGGATAAACACGATTGTGCACTGCATGCAACGTAACATTCTGAGGGCGCCGGCCTCGGTCAATCGACTGGATTTCCAGTTCCAAGACAGTATATAAGCCTCTATAGCGATATATTCCGGAATCCCACACCTACAACTGTTGTAGGGTGTAAGGTCCTTGAGCAGACCTGGAATACAGGGGGGAGGGGGGGGGGGGCATGTTGGTAGGGTAATACTTTTTTACAAGTGTCACGCCCTTCCGGCCCCGGGGAAATGCAGAGAAATAGAACATGGCAGACTACCAGGGCACATGTATATTTTCTCCAAACGCATTGGACACGAATCCATCCCGTGGCCTATATTGTATAATTCGAGAGGAATGGCGTTACCTGCACGAGCTTTAATTGTGCCAAAGTAATAATTATTTGAAAAGGTGGTCCTGGAAGCTGATCCTCACGACCTGTTGGAGGGTAATTCTATTGTCGTGGACATAGAAATCCATGTACATGGATGTGTGTACCGCTTCACACGGCTGCATGGCCTGGGGCCGCTAGACGTGCGGCCGGATTTCCATGTCCACGACAGTACCAGGTAGTGCCCATAGTAACAGTTTTGAAATTGGCATTTTTAAAACTACTTATACAGCATTAGTAGTCATGACAACTAACAGGGTGCTCGGTAGACCGAGGTGTCCGTGATTTCCATGTCCGGAGAAGAGAGATATGACTCGCCTTTTCTGCATCTCACACAGTTAGAACAATATCAATGAGAATAGGGTTGACGGGGAACAGGAAGGAACAAATGCCAAAAGATCACGAGATCAAAAGATGATGAGGATGGGGGGGGGGGGGGGCTAGGACCTGTCCATGTAATTTGAACCACGCGGCCGCACAGGGAGTGTACAGTCAACTTTGCGTATAACGATACTCAGCGGGACATCAGAAAAGTGTCATTATTCGCGAATTGTCCTTGTACCCAAAGTCTCATTATTATGGACTCAGATGGAGAGCCAAGGTTTAATTTATAAAAAGAGATGTATAATTATATGTATCACAATTAGATGGGACTTTGCTCTGGGCATGGAGATCCTGTCGTTATTCACGTTATATCCGCAGTCGGTTCTAGCAAAGTTGACTGTAGCAAGATGCGGTGTCTGTACCAACCAGCGATGGTTCAACACACTGTAAACAATATGACATATTCTATACCCTGACATGCTAGGCAATAGTAGTAAAACTGCACTGGTAGTTTACTACGTCAGGGTTAGGCTTTCCCCAAATCGGCCGGCCGAATAATCCGCCGAAAACGAGACATGGAAAAATCGCTCAGCTTTTCGCCGATTTTGAATGGTTCCCTTGAGAATCGCCGAAAATCTATCAAATGTTGTAGCAAAGTGCCTCTACGAACGAATGATGTTGCTGCAAGGATGACCACCTAAGCTCTCTACTTCAGTGCTTGTAGTACTAGTGCGTTGAGGTCGTGTGACTTGTGTCCTTTGACCTCCTCTCCAACAAACATTAGCCATTAGGGAGATTGTTACTAGCAAAATACTACACTACAACGTACAGTTGTGGCCAGTTCTATCTAGCAGAGCTGTATTTCCAACATCTCACCAATTTTGAAGCCAATATGCGAACAATTCTTTTAGCCGTATTATTCCAATTTTGAAGCCGATTTTCGAACAATCGAGGGAAAAGCTGAATAGGCGAAAAAACGGGCAGATTTGGGGAAAGCCTAGCCAGGGTCCGTACGACTCCTTATGAGCCACCGCGCTGACGTGAATATGGTGACCTGAGCCCGGGCTTCCTTTAGTCCATTCATCAAAGATGATCTCTAGTCTGATTCTGGTGAGCTCCCGTACTAAATACGGGAACTTGATTTTGTTGATTCTGTTGCTTTTATAGCACACTTTGCAGTGCCGCGAAATTTGAAATAAAAATGAGTAACTTGAAAGGTACCTCAACTGGGGTTTGAACTCCACAGTCATACTGTGCAGTGCTGTTGCAAGTGGAGTGAAACGGCCTGGGCTTGCATGGTTTATGGTACATGTCGCTTTCCCCAATCCCGTGCTTGTGGGGCAAAACCTGGTCGAAACTTCCTATTCTTGCTTTTTTGAGACATATACATTATACATGTACTTCGGAAAATCTGATACCGGTTGTTATTACTGTCGTTAGAAGAAGAGTCGGCGTGGAGAAAGCAATTAATTTTTATAAGTGCAATGAAGAAAATGAGAGATGCAGCCATGCAGATATAATGTTCTTTTCGTATCATGTGACCTTACAGTCAGTTCTGGCACTGTTCACTGAAGAGCGGAACGCGAAAAATCGATTTTGAATGATAAAATTCTTTAAAAAAAATCTTAAACTCGTTGTTGTCTGGCCATGTCTGCATCTCTCATTTTCTTTATTGCACTCATAAAATTGTTGGAAGAGGAAGAGCATTCCATAGGGGATTGCAAAAAATCTGATAAACTCAAACGGTTCGACCCATTTTATACGTATATGGCCAAAACGGCAAGAATATCATCATTCTTTTTATCAAGAGTACGAGAGCACATTGTACACATAGCCAGGACCATGGGTCGGCATTTGCAGATAATGCTCGAAAAAGGTGGCAGATTCTGCTCGAAAAGCAGTGAAATTGGCAGAACCATACAAACCTTAAGGGGGCAGCCTACCCATAAATTTCATATGGCATTCAGTTGACCGTAACTTTGGTGTTTCTCAATGGATTTGAGTGAAATTTTGACCACACACTTCTGCCACTATGCTGGCCCTCAGGACATGATTTACAAGTTCTTGTGCCTCACTGACAGGCTTTCCAGGCCGGAAAAACTCAAATTTCCGGCATAGTGCCACGGTGTGCGAGCTAGGCCTTGGCGGATAATGCCGGCAGAAAAATTGGCAGAATTCGGTACTTTTTCTGGTAAGTTTCATGCATGTTTGGTATGTGGATAAAGAAATGGAGCAGAATTCGAGGAATTGCCCGCCATAAGGTTTGTATGGTTCTGCCAATTCCGGTGCAAAAAAAGCAGAATCTGCCACCTTTTCGAGCATTATCCGCCAAGGCCTAGTGCGAGCCACCCAGGAGCCAAACAAATGCATTTACAATTTTTTCACATTTTCGTGCTCATTCTGTTCGTGCGCGGGACTCAAACCTAGAACAAGTCCAGAAGCAGCCATGGGTGATGGGGTAGGGCCCCTCAACGAGGCCCTGGAATCTGTCACAACGGAACGAGTGGGCGTTCTCTCACACACTCCCACAGACCCAAGTCAATTTTTGATTTTTTTAGGTTTAGCACGTGCTACGAGGTCGTACCTTTGATACAACATCCAGTGCTGGGACCTCCACAGCGAGCCATTTCCACAGCGCTGCACACCAAATCCAGGATACCCTCAGAAACCGGCAAAGACTACCACTCACGTTTCACTACTGCCTAGTACTGAATCCTACCTGACTTCTTGACACGACTCAAACTTGCCAAAGTCACTAAATCAACGTCAACTACAATAATCAAGCCACATATCTGCAACGTCACGAGGGTGCTGGCAAAAGTCCTGCTGCACGGCGGCGGGCTTCGCCCGCCGCCGTGCAGCCCAATACGTGGCTCAAAAACCTGATTTTTTTACTTAAGGGCACATTTTCGGCCATAACTCTTGAACGGCCGGTCAGATCGGGACACAATTTTCAGAGAATTTGCAGCTATTCATGCTCTTTCAACGGACGTAGCACTCAATATGAATTTACAAATTCGATTTTTCAGCGAATTTTTGGGTAGTCTGCCACCTTAAGGCGGGCAATTCCTCGAATTCTGCTCCATTTCTTTATCCACATATCAAACATGCATGAAACTTACCAGAAAAAGTACCGAATTCTGCCAATTTTTCTGCCGGCGTTATCCGCATATGCCTAGCCATGGGGTTACGACTCTTGTCTTCATGAATGGACAGCAGCCAGGAGTACTCCCTGTTGGACAGTGTAGCAAGTGATAGGAGTGCGCTCATTATTCCCGGAATATTTTGGTAATACTATCGTTTTGCAATCTATACCTTCACATGCAATGACGCAAATCCACACAATCAAGTAGACACTTCCTTCTATCAAAAGTTCTCAAACGTTTTTCACCGCCTCCAAACTGGGAATTTTAGGGGAATTATGGAAGAAAAGGAGAAGGACAACAATGCTAATAGATGACTTGCACAAAGATCCGAGCCGCGAGTGAGACGGGGCAAGTGCACCCTGTGCACCCAGGCTACACTGCGGGCACCATCTGTAGTGTACTTTTTTTGTCAGCATGAATGAACGGTGCACGGCATGTACATGATGTACATGTACATGATCAGTACCGTCACTGTCTTCAGCAGCTCATGAGTCATGTGCACTTGTAGGGTTAGTGGAAGTACATGACTGTATATTATGTGAAGAGAAGCCAGGCGTTCAAACCAACCCAAAATACTCTTGCCATATTCTTCGGTGAAATAGTTATAAAAAAATTGTCTTACTAAACAACAGTGAGCATAGAAGCAACCTCGATGCACCCAATCAATGAATATGGCATCCGGGAACAGCAAGTGTTGCACGAGGATCCCAAGAACACGTCAAGTTCCATGCTACCCGCCGCCATCAAAAGAACGAAGGATAACTGTGCTAGCCTAGTTCATATTCAATGTAACGCTATCGGTACGGGATATAGGAGCCTGTTGGGAAGGCGTGGGTGAGCTGTTAAAATCTTGTACGGTTCGCACAGCACAGCATACATGC